TACTTAAAAACTTCCTAGAAACTAGTTTAGTTTGTGCAACTGTACAAACTAAATAGTGCTATTTAGTTCTAGTGCGATCACTATCACATAAGAATGCATTAAATATATGGATTTGCTCTTGTAACTAAATTGTGAAAAGGAAGTACAACTAGTACATTTTTTTACAAAGTGTTTTAATGATATTTTAATGAATACTCGTCTTTCTATTGCACAGTTGATGAAGTCTTAGGATTATTTCCATCTAAAAACGTGTGTCAAAGTAATAAAACATCCCCCAAGGTTTATTATATCATGTTCATATAAAGTTCAATGTATGGATTTGTTCAATATATCCTTCATTAAGTAAACATTATTTACAGTTAGTTTAATTGGTAAAAAATGTAGTATGTAATACGTTCTCAGAATTTTATGGAAAATTTATGGACTCAAGGGTCACAGGCTGTGAAAAGAGATGCCGAGCTGTCCTGTATCACCTGAATATTATAATATTAGCTTCAAGAGAATTTATGTATTTACAATGTACTTTTAAGACTTCTTGAAGATTGCTCAAGAGCAGGTCCAGCCAAAAATTTAAGGTGGGTGGCTAAACCGTCAAGATACACTGAACACATATTTTTTTTTAATGCTCACAGTACCTTGATAACAGGGCTTAATAAAATGCTTTATTGCCGACACTGAACCCGAGTATCAAAATATTGTGACTTAGATAAGCCATTTTCAATGCAGGGTCAAATGAAAACGACCCTATACAAGTATTGCTATAAGAATATTATAATATAATATTGATATTAATTGTAATAAGCAGCAAAACTTTACTTGGGAATGTTGCCTTCAATAAATTATTATTTTATCAATTTATTTTTATACTACAAGTAATTCCATGTAGCTATAGATAGGCACAGTCCAAGTCTCACAAGGTATTACATGAAGAAATTGCTTAAAAACAGGGTCATAAACAAAATTATAACTGGTAAAARTAGTCAAAAAACTGCTCACAGTGTACACATTGGTCCAGGCACTAGTGTGATCAGGTCAAAATCTGGACAATTATGTCAGTCCTGAGTACAATGGCCAGACCAACGTATTCATTTATAAGTGCTAAAGCTTGGGCACTATGATGACAACAATGCCTAAATTCAACACTGTTAAAGTTGTTTATATCTGTTCATTAACTAAGGGCATTTGCTCTAGAAGGTGTTTACAGGAATATAGGTTCACAGCTCGAATATTTAAAGTGCCTATGARGCCTGCAACAATTATTTCTGTTTTTCTGTAAGCTGATTCTATATATTAAATAAATGTTATTTAAATTGAATGATGAAATATGACCTCATGGAGGGCTTTAAGAGATATACCGATATGAACTTTGAAGCAGTTGCTTACATGAAAAATGGATTTATGCCTCACAATTTATCGTAGATAATGCACGGAAAACCCATATTCCCAGATCGAAATCATTATGAAGGAATATTTTGCCATTCAATTATTTACTTTATATTATTATATGAATCAGTTCACAGAGAATACGAAATTATTGCGCCAGGGGTCATAGGCACTTTTAAAAATCATAATTAAACATTGTTAAACATTAATTAGGAGTATTAAATGTGTCCCTGTCCTAATTTCATATCAATATCAAGGAGTACAGTGTATTTACATCCTAATGTTCTTGCATCCTTTTTTGTTTATCAGAAAATGTTATGTTTTGTTATGAAATTACCTATTTACATTATTGACAAAATTATGATACTAACGATTTAAGAATGGTAAGTCCCAAATTACACAATAATTCTATTATTCACTTGTTTCTGAGCATTTCTGAAGTACTTTTAGTATTCTTTCTATTGCTTGTCCACTGGTGCCACTCTGAAAGGAAATAGAAATATCAGGATATCTCCCTAGTACCATAATTTACTTTCAATTGATATACTAGTCCCATGACTTGATGTTTTTTCACTTTGGAATAAAGTATAATAATAAAACATCACTTTGTCAAAAAACCTAAAGAATAAGTTAGGGTTTTTTTTCCTTTTTCATAAATTGCAGTTTGAAATAAAAATAATTAAAAATTAGCAATTAAAAATTAATTAATTTCAACATACAATTTAGATACAGATGAAGTACATTATCTTAGGTCTTGCTAAACTAATAAACTATTAAAATAATTATAATCCAATATCAATAGTCATACTCAYAGTTTAATATTAATAATATGAAAGTTGTTTATTAATATATTAAACTAATATTATTAGGTTATTAATAATTCATATAAATACAAAAATATTATATTAAATTTATCTCACTCATTTGGGAATATTATGCTTCTTTGTAAAACTCATGAATAATTAATGAGGAAAATACAATAGAAATCACAACCGTGAAAATCCCATACAACACGGCTGCTCATGTTGTAAACATTACATAACATCCACTGCAGGGACTATGAGCATAAAGTATCAGGACAGTATTAGTATAAAATTAAAATGTTACTTACTGTTAACCGCATAAATCCTAGAAACTTCTTGAGGACATCAATTAAAAGTGAAAAGTTTTTGTCAGGTAAAAGACTTCTTACTARCAGTTCATTGGCCTATGATCAATAAAACCAGAAAATTGTGGTAATCTTTAGTAACATAACAAGACACAACCTCAAGTAATTAAGTGAAACACCATAAGGAGCAACACTTAACATTGGTAGCATGGTATGAATAAGTGGACAGCATGGCACTGGTAGCAGGGCCAATGTTATGTATGGGTTTGAATATGTGGACAGCATGGCACTATGATGAACATGATATAGAAATAAAGGAAAGGAATAGTCCTTAGAAGGAGGTTATTCCTKCAATAAGGTTCTTGGAATTATATTTGGAAAAATTAGTTAATTCCAACTTCACTGGGATTCAAACTCACAGTCCTTGGATTTATACTACTGACGCTCTACCAACTGAGCTACAAGTTCAGTCTGGGAGCAGATCAGGGTGAAATATTTCGGTCTTTCTCCCAGAATAACCTGTTTCTAAGCACTATTCCTTTCATTTATTTCTATATCAATGTTATGTCAGTCCTGGTTTGTTCCCTGTGTGAGTTTTGTCAGTACTAAACTTTGTCTGTAGGAATGAAGACGAGAGGTACTTTACCTTGTTGCCTTGTACWATACAACCAAGAAGAAGAGCGACGTATGAAGCCACCATACTGTCCTCCATATGCTTGTTAGCTATCACTAASGCTGTAAATAATTACATATTGACAAATGTCAATCAATACTCCCGTTTCGAATTCTCCAATGCTCTGTGTTAGCCTGATTTGTGCGCAAAATATTCCTAATTGTGAGCGTAAAAGTGTAAGATTTCAAACCAAATTTATTGTCTTTCTTCACAAATTCCATGTGTTTTCTCAAGCTATCAATGAAACAAAAGAATATGTTACTTGGTTTTGAGGCTAACACAGAGCAAACCAGAACTCGAAATTGGAGTATTCTAATGAACAACAATATTTTATAATAAATATAGTTCTAATGGTTAAACAGTTTCTTTCAAAAATGACTGAAAAAAATTATAGACGACAGAATCATTGTTGCTGTTTTTATTCAGTCCTGAGTTAATATTAAATGCATCTTTTTGCTTCTTTTGCAGACTAAAGTTCTTACTTCCCCAGGCAAAGCTGTCACATCGTTTTCAATGCAATTTTAGGGATCTTTTTACCTTTTCCAATTTCATCTTCTAAGTTTTCTTTGTTCATTTTTTTCTTTGGTGATGATGAACCAGCATCATTGTTGGATATTTTATTAGTTTCGTCAACGGATACATCAATGTCATTGCCACAAATCCAGCCAAGTCCATCTTTGGTGGGTTTAAGGACATTGTCTTCTTCTTCTTCATCTTTAAGAAAAACAGAACTTTGTTATACATGTATTATTAAGTTCACATCATAATGCTGTAAAAAACAAATTATCAAGAATAATCAGGACATTACCTTCTGGGGACAGTGCATTTGTCATCTGGTCCGTATCTCTCGCTGATCTTTCTCGTACAATGAATAACTGCATCAAAGCCTCAACAGATCCCATCATRCCATCAGAGTCAAGCAAGCTGTCATTACTAGTRTCCTGRCTCTCRTGACATGGATCTGTCTTGAKTTGAACTAGWGTTGCTATATTGTTCTTGCTGTGCTCTACAAGGTTGATTAATAGCCCAAGACTCTGAAGAAAATAAACAAYGCKCAGGATACATTCAWTGGCTATAATATTTTGACTGTTTTAAAACAACTTGCTGGAATTGAAAGGTAAYCTTACCAASACATGTAGATCAAATCTCTTGTTAGACTCTAGATGCTGAGTCAACTGGAAAAAAACAATCATGATCATCACCATGACAAACAAGTTAACAGGAAAGTGAGTGAAAGAGTGAGTGACGAGGACATTTACATAATCCTGTAGAACTGTAGAAGAAGCTAAGGGGAAATAATAGACTCTTTTGTTTCCTCTGAGCCTTTCCCTTATATTTGTTTTGTGCATAACAAAATATCGAAACTGGTATTGATAACAGTATATTTTGATGATAGCAATAAAGCTAAAACAAATAAAACACATACCTGTAATACACAAAAGAGAAGAGAGGCTAGAAGACCTTGTTGTTTGCCAATTAGACTACTCCCATCATCTAAACAAGACAATAATATAACACACTTCATTAAAGAGGTTAATAATTTGGTCCAAGCYTTSAGKTTTTTTYCTCYRTGTAAGCTAGTGAATCCTTTCTCTGCTTATAGCTTTACAAAAGTGATGTATAAACAAAAATTAAAACTGTAATTTATACAATAAATAGAGGATATTACATGGGCGTGCAGAGATTCGAATTTATCTTCGAGTGTTGAAAATATCTCTCACATAATTATGCCGTATAATACCTTTTTTTACTAATCCACTATAATAGAGAAACCTCCAATATGATATTTTCACTAGTATATCCAATATGATATTTTCACTAGTGAAAATATAACAACTTTCCGTAATGAAGAAATTTTCATAGATAACTAATATATCACATGATATTAAAATGAAATCGGCCATGATGTATGAAAAGAAAATTACAACTGCAGTCTAATGTAACTGTATATAAACAAAAGAAAACAATGTGCCTAAAGTCTACTTTCAATTGAAAAAGTACTTGCAAGTGAGCACAAATCACCTCACAATCAGGGGCAAGAAGTGTGTTACTAAATAGGGTGAATAATGGTATCCACTCTATTGATTTTGCATGGATTTTATCCGCTGGATAGGATGACTTTGTACCAATGAGCCCTGTACTGTACAATACTCGGTAAACAAGACTTACCATAGTCATGGGAAAGATTGAGAAAAACTTTCAGAGTATTAAACAAACATTCTTCTGGTGTGACTTCATTGTGAATGTATTCGTCAGTGGATGAAGAGACATCTGTATCTGTTGTGATGGTATTGATACATAGCTGGACGAACCTTGTGAAATAATAGCAAACAAAGACATTAAATAGAGGGATGAATTACTGCCTGACTGGTGGAGTGCTAGACACACTGACTGACAAACTGACAGATTTAATGGCTAACTGATTGACAAGACAGACTGATTTACTAGTACTTTGACCTGACACTGACTGACAAACTGACAGATTTAATGACTAACTGATTGACTGACTGATTGACTTACGAACTGACAGACTG